TACATAGCCTTGATCTTTTTTTCAAATTCGAAATCCTTTTTAACTGGCTGCTCCTTTTTTCTGAGTTGCCTGTGAGATACTGGGATATAAGGTCTGTACAAACAAGTAGTTTCCTGGGTTCCTTGAGAGTCATAAAGAATAGTCAAGCCTTCCCAGATTATACCTAACGGGATTGGGATGGAATCGTTTGAAGAGCGCCCGTTGTGCAGGAGAGATGCTAACAGGAGCTCAGCTCATTGTATCAGATTCGACTATTCCCCACGTGCCCGGTGCTTGAATGAACCAAAAAAATTATGGGGGCTCGTTGTAGGGACAATATAGTGTAGAAATCTTGAACAGAAGTTTTTGAAGATTCTATTATGCAACATGATTAGAATCTTGGCGAGTTCCAGAGTCTACGCCTCAGAGTCCGTGGGACATTACTCTCACGAGGAATTTGCCAATTCGTAGGAAATATCAAAAAGTTTCATCGAAAATACCATTACAGCTCTGAATTGGCGTAACAATTTAGCGAGAGAAAGGAAGGCATCGATCTCATTGAAGGCTGTACATCATGTTCAGGTCGACTACTTTTAAGATCTCTATCTTCCAGTTTGCTTGCATTGATTGTGAATATGTTGTCGTTCCCTTGTCTCGTGTTTGAGGTATTTACAATTTTTTGTCCGTGAATAACTTTCTTGCAATGAATCCAAATCAGTCCAATGAACTTTAAAGGCACAGTTCACGATAAAATGGTTTCTGAGATTTCCGCATAGGACGAATTCAAGGTCCCCTCGAATACCATATCTAGCGCTATTAGGCCGGGAAATGGCTTAGTGAGGGAGTTATGAAGGCTCAAAATTATGCCGTGTGTATACTGGACGAGTTTCACCGGCACTGTAGAGGCTGCACCGATCACGAGGGAACCCATGTAGGAAGTCCAAACAACTTGTCTTGACCCATAGTGACAGTGATAGGCAGTTATGTACAAGTTTGGCATGACGTAGTCAGTTCTTCGCGCAATTGCAACAACTGCAATCTCGCCCGAACACCCCTCCCATGTGATTTCCGTCATCTTAATCTCGTTCAACCTTTATTATCCCTACCTTTGGAAGCCTTTTTTTCGAAATCGACGGGTTCTCTTGCTTTCTTCACTACTGAAGAACTATTCCCAACCAATACTTTCGTTTTTCGAATGAAAACGGGCACCTTGAAATTATCGTGAACTGTGCCTTTAAGAGATACTTATTTTTTGCTTCATCACTGCAAGGTTAACCCGGTATTCTTACAGCTTGTTATCAATCTACAGTAGAAGGCCGGCAATGAAGTCATTCCAGGATATGGAGCAATTACTGCCAGAAAAACGCCTCGCTGTACAGCGGGATACATTCCCTTGTATGAAAACGGTACGAAAATGTGTTGAATTTAATTAGGGCGGGCAAAGACGATGTGACATTCTTCAGAAGTAAACTCCTATCCATCTTCAACTTCCAAAGAACTCTCAATGGCCTGGCGCAAGGGAAGAGGAGGGGTGAGGGCCAATATGGCCACAACAGAAAAAGTCTGAAAGCAATTCTTTGGTAGTTAAGGTTGAGTAGTATGAAACTTGCCGAGTGGATGATCCGTTTCTCAAAACCTGCACGAGCTCAGCGAACAGTAGAGCAATGTTCTTCCCATCTCCACTTACTTTACTTGGCTGGCCTTTCTTGAGGAAACAGTTCACAATGATTTTGAAGTACCCTCTTTGAGTGGAAAAGCGGAAGTATTCGTAGCAAATAGGAATAGGGCATTGATAAAGGCAGCTTGAAATCCGTCGACCTTGCGAAAAGAAATCTTCATAAAAATAGTGAAAATAGAGATTGGCGATATCACCGTGACGGATCTGACATGGAAGGGGTATTCGGACGAAATTTAGCTGTTGGTACTGCCTTAAAGCTGATTACATCAAGACAAAACTGTCCAAAACTGCCTTCCGCTGTCGCTATGGGTCATGACAAGTTGTTTGAATTCATTTTTAACCCTGACAGCGCCACATATGACAAACTAGGGAGCCACAGATTGATCTCTGGGATACCTCATAAGCTATTTTCACGTGAACTAAGTGACTATAAGTGACTAGGTGCTGCGTTTCCCATATCCGAGTAGTTTGTAGCTAATAAATATTGAAGCGTCAGGACAGATCGATCTTTGCGACAAATTTCCAGAAATGTGTCATGTCTACGCCCCACATCTTAAATAACGTTCGGGAATACCCACAGCAATTAGTTGATGTTCAAATCGATATGAAACTATGTTCAAATAGAGATTTGTTGTACGTAATCATCACATTCCGCCGAATACCCCGTCAATGGTCGCCATGCCACGCACGATCCACGCATGCATAGTGCTGTGCCCAGAGGAGCGCTTTCACTTTTCTGGGAAATACACACAATGTCGGTGTTGACGCAATTAGTTCGAATTCTTCTAATTTTTATCCAAAAGCGCTCACACTCGAGGGTACGGGTTATAACGTTTGTGTGCCTCTTTCTTCTCACTACGATGAATGGACGATTTTCCAGGTTCAATATCTTCTATGCTCTGTGCAGTTCCTGTCAATGTCTCTGTTGGTGATTCAACACACCGGAATGCCATTCCTTGTACGAGCAACCAACAAGGTATTGCTTGAAATCTCATGTCTCATCATCCAATAAGGGGCTGAGACACAGGGCTTAAAGAAGGATAGAGAATTTGCTTTTTGCTTGGAATTCTGGCCTCGCCTCCGACGGCAAACACTCCTTTCACGCCATTTTTTTTCTGCCTGAAACTCGTCCAACCCCTATTTTTCTAGTTTTTGTCCCCTTGTTTTTCTTTAGATACGCTGTTTTTCATGCCTTGTTCGTTATCTTTGCTTCTATCCCAAACAATCACTTACATTGTCCTTCGAAAACTGGATGCCCCCAAGTTATTGTGAACTGTGCCTTTAAGCAATCCAAACAATCATTGAATTTATTACTATCTACTGTCTATTATTGATCTCTTTTTCGACAGTAAATAAGGAAGTTAATTAGTCACAAGTTCCATCACCTCCCCGATAGTGTGGGGAACTCCTAATATGTTCACAGCTGCCTACCCACGTGAATCGCATGTTGCCGGTCCCGGCTCGGTAGATGAATCAGAGAAGAACACAAGGCAGAAAATGATAACAGAGAAGCTCTCTTCTAGAGTAGTCTATGACCGAAAGTAGTATTTTTCTCAGTAATCAATCAGTGTACACCGCAGCTGTGTACTTAACTTGTCATGGTTAGGATTTAGAGGTAATGAATGTATCATGGTATGTCGCCCTACTAATATAGGGGGCCATACAATAAAATGAGCATTCATCTTGGATTCTAAGGGGCCCGTAACTTCTGCCGAAAACTGACTCCGGTCCAAAATCATTCAACAATTTCATCGCTATCCTGTTAGACTTGAAGTCGAACTTATCCAGGCGTTTTAGATAGCTGAAGCACCACCACTCCTAGAGCTGACTTAGCTATGCTCGATGTTTTGTTCAACTTAAAAAATTTTTGTTTTAAATTCATAGCAAAAAATAATACTTACAATTAATGTAATTAGTAGCGATAACAGAATTACATAATTAATGGCTTATTATTATTGATTTATATTTATAGGAAAAAGTGAAGGAAATAGAAATTTCTGGGCAAATTAATGATTTCTTGCGGAGTGTGCATGACTACTAGGGATATTTTTGGATTACTGTCACCAACTAGCGATTGGTAAAGTTGAACAACGTTAGGGAATCTCGTTTCTGATTTTTGCCTCGACCACACGGGTAAAACCATAATTTCATACACCATGAACAATACCTAGGGGTCTTGCCTGGAACCTTGGCAAAATCTTGCGTAAGTCGAGCTAACCGTTAGTTACGTTGACGTAATACTCCCTTCTAAAGACGCTCGTTCAAGGATTCAACAAGTGAGTAGCTATTAACCTACCCTTCCTCAGGCATAATCCATGTTCTGGCTTAAATTGGTAGCCTTGAAAGGATAACTTTGCCTTGACTATGCTCGTAGGCAATGTCTATAATGGCATGTATCAAAGCGGATGGGGTTTTGAAAGCGGATCAGTGCGGACTAATCGCTCATTCTGCTCTGCATGAAAAGTTGTGAACAATTTAATCGGACATTGAACAAACTTTGCTGCGTCCTACATATGAATTAGTAAATTGCTACATAACTCAATCATATCGTTATCGAAATCCATTTCAAATGAATTCGGATTTATAACTCGGTCCTTATCGTCACGGGGATGTATTCTAAGCACCTGGCATACTATCCTGAGGTTCCTAATGGTTAGTCTCTTAGCTCAACTTCAATCTTTTTTGGTAACCGGGCAACGACGAAAAATGACTGGCACCTGACCTTCATCTTCCACTGGCAGATTTTGTCAAGTCATTTTATTGAAATGGCAATATACAATATCCGTCTATGAGGCAATGTGGCGCCCATCAGAGGACTGAGTGGTGAAAAGAAAATCGTTGAGCTATTCACTGTCCAAGCAAACTGAACTGTTTTTCCGCAAGAGACTGCTGAACAATGCTGCTACTGAAGCTGATCGTACTTTGCTCGTTTAGAGATTCTTCATGAACGCTAAATTCAGAGTGTTCACGTGAGGCGATTGGTCAAGGTTTCCTCTCGTTGTAGACAAGTCCCTTGACCACATTCTATGTCCCAGAGCGAAAATAGCAGATTCCTGTTAACAGCATAAACCGCAGCAAATGAGCTAGTTTGGGGATACGTGTCGAGCAAGTAGGACGTCGAAAGAATACCTAATGATAATTTGAATTGGTTCCATTTCTTGACTACGTGCAGGGACCCCAATTTGAAGCTCAATTCATGATTCGAACTTACCAAGATGGTATTACAAATTTTCGAAAAAAGGTGCCATAAAGGCTACATGATGGCAACAGAAAGGGGTTAGAGAAGTCATATTACAATATTTTTAAGGACAGGTCATTTCTACCGACGACATGCGTATTTTTAATGGAAATTCTCAAACTCACTACGTGTTCATTTATGGTCTTTGTTGACACTGGCAGCGTGGCAAGGTGAGAGATCTCCCTTGTGAGTGAATGGTACAGCCCTTTCAGTGGCTTCATGATATCCATTTAAGTTCCGCTCGAAAGCTTCATGATGCCATATGGCAAAAGAAAATGGAGAGTCTCAAGGTAAGAAAGGATTCTGGTCGAAGGGTTCCTCACAGGTACAATTCAACTTCAGGTCTGCGTACCAGCTTTTGCGTATGCCGTCCAAAATAATCTCTACTACATTGCTCTGGCCAACATCGATGCCACTACGTACACAGTGAATCTTTGAACAATTACATCTCACCTCTGTTTTATTCATTACTAAAAGAAAGCTTCGCCCAGGTCACATATCAGCTACGCATACTGACGACGGCTTTGTTGTCTGTACTGATGATTGGAAAGGAGATTTCAACGTGTCAATGGGGAGCATTGGGCTTGTCTGGTATCGGAGTAATACTTGTGCAAGTGAGTTCACTTTACTTTTACGTCTAGTTCCGGTCGTAGAGTTACTCGACCCATTCAGCAGTTCTCTGTCTTTGTAATGTATAGTATTTGTAGCTGAACACCTTGTCCACCCATCAGAGCATTCTCATGATAGCTGTGTGACCCTTAGGAAGCTGATCTCTTCTTGAGAAGGGTGTTTTATACTCGAAAAGGGGAACAACAAAAATTTCGCTCTATGGATTAATGCTGATCACAGACTTAGTCCCGGCTGAAGGCACAATGTACATAAGGATAGTTTCTTAGAGTTTTCTTTCTGATGAATCTACGGCGTCCCCCTTTATCATATGTGATGCTCTCAAGTCGGTGAGCGGTCTAAATAAAGTGTTACAAGGTTCAGAGATAGTATCGGCTGAAGGCCACACCCGTAGCGGACGGGTTTGGCGTTATAGAGGTAGCACCATTTCTCCCATGTTGGAAATTCAGAGAAACAGGCGTGACCCACGACGACAGTAAAAGACAGTTTTGGACATGGTTGTGTTGATGTAGTGAGTTCTTTAAGCGATTGCAACATCTGGAATCTCGTCAAAATGTCCCCTCTATATGCCATTCCCATTATGATGATCTCGCACGACCTCCATTTCCACTTCTTTTAGAAATTCTTACTTTCCACAAAATCAGATTTTCTCGCTTTCTGCGCCACCGATGTGCTAATCTCCTCCAACACCTACCCTTTTCAACTTGAAAGGGTAACTTACAATTATTGTGAATTATGCCTTTGATGTTGTCAACCGTTCCTTCAATGTTTTTACTACATGCAATCCCGGAGGTAGGCTAATCAACCTTAAATAATCTGAGGTCATCATTTAATGCGTATCCGTCGGTGACCGTGCAGAGCTGAAGACCATTATGTTTCCGCTTTTCTGAATGAGTCATCTTACTAACTTTACGGGTGCACTTCACTTATCTTTCCGCCTATCTCTCATTCTCTTAATCTCATCACTTCCAGTAGGGAATCGCAGCTGAATCAACGATATACGTGGGCCGCTAAAATCACAAATGGCAGTGGTCCATCTATGCAATCAAACTAACCAATTGTGCTACCAGATCTGTGTTTGCTTTTTAATGAGACTTTTGGCCAAATGTAACCGAGGCATTCCAATGCTCTGATTCACAAGAGCCTCATCATCATGACATGTAGCCAATTCAACGCAATTCAAACAATATTCTTCGGCTTACAGTATAGCTTTTTTCAAGATGAATTTCCATAATTCGATGAAAAAAGCGCAGACTGGGTGGTAAAGGATAAGCAATTCAATCAATCTGCAAAGCCAAACTGACGATAAAAATGGCCAATGAGAAATCTCCCTTTAATAAATCTGTGGCATCCCCGTATAACATATACACCGCGGCCAGATAGGTAAACGGCTTAGGCAGGGCGTTAGAGATCAGAGGTTGATCGGTTGTATGCCACACCGATAGCGGATGAGTTTCAAGGGCTTGTAGATGCCGAACTATTTCAAGGGACTACCATGGTGAAAATTCAGCGAACTAGACGGAACCCATGGCGACGGTGAAAAACAGTTACGGACATTTTTGGCCACACAATCGCAACAACTGAAATCTCATCGGAATACCGCCCACAGGTCATTTCCGTCACGGACATCTCGTACATCCTCTACTTTCACCACTTTTTGAAAGACTTATATTTCACGTAGTCGGCAGATTTTCCGCTTTGTTCGCTACCGATACACTATTCTCCGCCTACACTGCCCCTTTTCAATTTAGAAAAGGTACTTCGAAATATCGTGATATGTGCATTTGATAGACTCCGGTGACAATAGTAATACATTCGGGTTTTGATCGGAAAAGAAGGTAACGTTATCCACTAGAGGTTAGCAAATATCTAAACGACGCTTGCTTTCCTGAAATGGTTTACAGTTGAGCAGCTGTGTAGCTGATGCGTTCCTTCTGCTTTAGAAGTTCTTCAGAAGTTCAAAAGGCATTATTTAATTGGATGAGTGAGCGAGGGTGGTAGTGTAATAGCAAATGGCGCACTAGCACACACGCATGCTCATGGTTTCCAACCCAGGATCGAAACCCGCCCGGGTAGATCAGCTTTCCATCACCACGGTGTCGGTTAATAGGTACTAGACTCGTCTGGGGAGGATAAAAGCGCTGTCTTGTACATAGGCTGGCCACCGCAAGTCATTGTATAGGCCACACATGCATTCAACACGCCACTACGATCTGAATGGAAGTCGAATGCGGGAGCGCATCCCTCAGACGGGATCGATCCCCGCTCGGTGACTTTAGACCTTCGCTGATGTTTCTGACCTTTCCAAGTCAATCCAACTAGGTGTCATGTTTTCGGTGGAAAAACAGCGGCACAAGGCAGTAGCTGTGGATTACTTTATGAACGGAAACTGAGAAAAATACCAATGAAAGGTTTATTATAGAGCGAGATACATTTTAAAATGTATATTCGTCAAAACTACGACCAAGAACGTAAAGAAAGGTATTGCAGATGGATGCATCCCCTTCACACAGTCGCAACAGCATTGCATCTGCTAGTAAACTCGTCGGCGTCGTCGCCACAATCGGAATGTGTTGGACTAGCGCCTTCGCAGGTGGGCATAATTGCTTTCAGCTCAATCTCAGAACAGAAAACGGCAGGTTCATCATTTAGAGGCGAAGTTCACGATAGTTATGAGGTGTCTAGTTATAAGGCTTCGAGAAAGTGGTAGAAAATGTGGTTGTACGAGATTGCTGCCTGTGACCGTCCGGTTCTCCCACATAAGCATCCTATTTGACGCGTCCTGACGCTTCATTGTGAATAGTGCACTTTCAACAAGGCCGGCCACTTGGGGTGTGTACGTCGGCCGAACTGTTTTTGTAGCCGTTATCAACCCTGTCTAGGTCGTTTTTCGACCCGAGTACGTCCCATGTACTGTTTTTGGGGCCACAGGTTCATAATAGGAAAAAGTCTTAGAAACCATGATTGTCATGAATAGAATTGGACTTATAAGGTTGTCAGAAGACAAAAGGTTTTGAATCCATCACACCTTTCACATTTCACACATTAAGAACAGGTATAAAATCCGTGAGGCTGGTGGGTACACAGATGAGTCATGACACCTCATAAGGATCATTCAAAAACAACCAGTGTGTAAAGGTGAAAGTGATGAGATTAATTCTCTAAACTTGTTGCAACTTCATTTTCAAAGAAGGAAACAATTCCTCTCAAAGGGAAGCGGACTCTGTGTGACGGGGGGTAACGGAACTTCTCCCCTATCGCGGCATTCTCCCTTGCGGCATGCGGCAAATGTCACTGCAATTACCGTACTCACCTCGCCTCCCGAAAATCGATAGGACGCGATATTTTTCCTTGACTGGCTTGCTTTTTCATTGGGTTTTATCGTTTTTTCTTCTGTTTCTTTTTAGTTTTCATGTTTATTAGACTTGATTAATTAAAATGACTCCTCTTATATAAACGACGATCAATACCGCATTGAAATTGAAGGGAGCGACCAGCCAATTCAAATGATTAAAGGACTCCCTACTTCACAAATTGCGCGCTCCAATCTTTCATCGCAATCCTGCGATAGGCGGCGGGTGCGGCGTGTGCGACGCCGTGTTAGGGAAGAAGTTCCCGGACCCCTCTCACGAGGTTGATATTAAAACTTTGTTAGCTAACTTTTTGACGGTATCGCTTTCCTCAGAGACTGACATGGTTTAAAACAGTTTGTGGATATTAGATGACCACAA